AAGAGCGCCTTGATACATACTAAATACTCAAATCCTTTTTTTGGCAGAGCTATTTCCTTGATCTTTTGCCCACGTTTTTAAAAAGTTTGAAACTACTATGAGGTGAAATTGCAGGTCAAAAGTGCTTCGTTTTCTACAGATAACAGCCAAACATCAAGATTTTCCTTTTTTACCGTATTTCTAACGATAAAAACTTTATCCCAAAATATCTCCGCAACACTCTTACAGATTCCGTTTTAACTTTACGTTTTAACGAACATCGAGGCAACCATTGGAGGAAAATGCTCCCGTGAACGATTTTGGAAGAACAGTTCCCAGTGAGAAATGTTCCTGCACGTATAATACCTAATGGCGTCATTTGGTTGCTATGACAACTCTGATGTTATTGCAACCCGGATCATAACAAATTTTCATCAATTATCTAGATAAATACAACTGTGGTGGCAATTTTTTCAAATGTTTGTTTATGGTGTCGTAGTCTATGCCAGGAGCCGATTACTTGGAGCCTCCATAGGTGCTGTACCCTTGAGTCAACCCTTTCCGATAAAGGATTATTTTTAGAACAGGCTTTCCCGCGAAATTAATTTTAATTAATTGTTTTCGGGGACGTCCGCATATTTCTGTAGTGAGAAAAAAATGGCGACGAAAGAGGGAAATAGGCCAACAAGTTTACTCCTTGTTCCATCACCGTAGCTCCTGCCTCCGTTCGTTCCCTTACAACCGAGGAAAGCTGGTTTCGAGTTAATATAAAGAATATGTAATCTGGCTTTAAACTATTGCTATATTTTGTTGCAACGCACGAGGTCGTGTTTGCTGTTGTAGCACTGTTCGGATGTTTAAATTTTGCTCGTAATGTTGTATTCCATCGCCCTTATTTAAAAGAAGCTTTTCAAAGAATTAAAAAGTGAAACTCTTTGTTGGAGAACCAGACTTTTTAAAAGGGAATTGGAGCGCTTACAGTAAGGTCTGTATGGAACCGGCAAATCGGAGGCAATTTTGCGCCTTCCGCGGCCTTTGTAAGTAGAAACTGTCGTGTCTTCTGTGTCTTATCTACCGCAACCTGGGACAGCGAAAATCAAGATGTTTTCTCATGATTTTGAAGGATTTCATTTAAAGAAGCAAAACGTCGAAGTGAAGAAAGGTATCGGTTTATGTTGTCCGGATTTTTATTCATTTTGATGGTGCTATATAAGTTATTATTTAGTTGCCACAAGACATGAAAGCTACAAAAACCCTTTGAGTGCAGAATTATCAAACTCAGGAAGAAATTAAACACTGTTTGGCAATCACAATATATCTCAAGATACTACAAGACTTCATGGCCGCAGCATATACCTGTAGACCTTAAATAACCGCCAAAGAAATATACAGGAGGACGTGACATGCCGAAACATATAACTTCCGCTGTGAAACCTTTGAGAACCTTTCTTTCATTCAAGGATTTTAATCTTTTGAAGTCGCTAGCCCCATCGGCTCGCTCCTTTTTTAATTTTATGACTGCCTGTCATTTTCCTTGTTTACATGTTACTTAGTTTCTTAGTAGCAAGAGAAAAATACCAGGCTCAGTAGATTCTGTATCGACAGCTGTTGTATTGTGTGAATGAAACTCACAGTATGTTAGGTACACAACAGTAAATTTCGCTTTTAATTCGATTTCATTCCTGTTGAACATCTCGTTTTTTTGTTTGATATGTCCTTTTGAAATATTTGCCGTTGGGATTGTATGTTATCAAAAGCCATTTTCATCCACAGCCACATTAATTCGGCTACACAATCTGTTTGTGTAGGCGATTGTAATTTTATAGTAAATGTACTGGATTTACCGTTTGTTTCACCTATAGCGATATATCGCTAACTATGTATATAAATCAATGATAAATTAACGTTGAATTGCCTTACCTGTGGTATATAGTCGTCGTTTTACCTCAAAAGCGGTTTTTTGAGCGATTTTGAAGGAGTTGCATTTCGCCGTTGACTGTCCCTTATTCTATTATAAGGAATTGCGAACAGTCAACGGCGAATTCAAACTCCTTCAAAATCGCTAAAAAAACCGCTTTTGAGGTAAAAGGACGACTATGTACCACAGGTAAGGTAATTCAGCGTTTATTTATCAATGATTTATATACATAGTTAGCGACATATCGCTATACATAGGCGTACGGGCTATTTTTTGCCAGGGGGGGCGGTAAACCATTTGCCCAAAAAATTCTTGCAAGTTGCCCAAATTTTTACAAAACAGTCGAACAGAAACGAGGGCCGATGCAACAAGATAGGCCTACTGGCATATGAAAATGGCTCCATACAGTTTTTCAGGGTCAATACCTGCCAAGTTTGAGTATAAACTACGTCGCCATACACAAACATTTGGAAAAGTTGCCACCACAGGTGTATTAGATAAAGATGAAAAGTTGTTGTGATCAGGGTTGCAATGACATCGGAGTTGTTATAGCAACGAAATGAAGCCATTACCTATTATACTTGCAGCAATATTTCTCTCTGGGAACTGTTCTTCTAAAAACGATCACAGGAGATTTTTCCTCCAATAGTCTCCTCGATGTTCGTGACGTTAAAACGGAATCTGTAAGAGCGTTATCGAGATATTTGGGGTAAAGTTTTTATCGTTGGAAATACGGTAAAAAAAGGAAAATCTTGATGTTTGGCCGTTATCTGTAGAAAACGATGCACTGTTGACATGCAATTTCACCTCATAGTAGTTTCAATCTTTTCAAAAACGTGGGTGATAGATCATGGAGATACCTCCGGCCAATTGCTACAAAGAAGGATTTGATTAGTATGTATCATGGCGCTCTTGTTAGCGGTTTTGTAAACATTTCAGTCTACTTTAACAAATTATTGAATCATTTTTAAACCGCTCGATAGACTTTTTAAAAAAATCAAGATTCTTCTCTCAATTCAAACTGAGAATTAGTCAGCCACTTCTTCACATTAAGACCCATTGCTGATGCTATCTGCCATACACTGTTCTACGAGCGGAGATGATTCTAGAAAGTTAGGCGGAAGTTTATTCTAATAAATTCACGACTGGAAATAGCCCATTGCAGTACAGTGCCCAACAATAAAAAAAGATCAGCATATGATACCTTTCCCTTACAACCAGAAACTCGTCACGTGCTAGGCGGACACTCTCGTGTCAATGTAACTGGATTATTACGCCGACTTCAGGTTAAAATAGAATATATTTATCTCTTCAAAATAATACTAAAAACATGGAGACGTCTTTAAAAATTGGCTTTGCCCAAATTTTCTCGTGCTGCCCAAAAAATCTGAGTTGCCCAAACTTTGTGGGGGCTGCAGCCCCCCTCGCCCCCCCGGCCCGTACGCCTATGTCGCTATAGGTGAGGCAAACGGTAAATCCAGAACATTTACTATAAAATAACAATCGGCTACACAAACAGATTGTGCGGGCTCCCTGTGGTTTCGTCTTCTGAGCCCAGCGTGAACCAAACGCTGTTTTTGAGATCTATAAAGCATTTCAGGATCGCTTGAATTTTCTTAATCGACGTATGATAGTTTAGATTAGCTGGATTTTTTGGATTTGTGAAGTTTACTCAAAAGACTAGTCTGCTACACAGCCGTTTTTAGACTATCGGTTATTTAGTATTTTGAAAACCTTGACCGGTCACCGGCCATATAGCCACAGCGTTTATAAGCCATCGATCCCAGGCTCGTCGACCTTGACTCGTCGACATGCGCTTTGTTGTTTTCCCGTAAACACCAGCGTATGATACTGCACGTGCTACTCAATTGCTTATCTCTCAAAATTCAGGCTAAAATGTGGCGCACGTGAAAACAGCTTCGGTCTGTAAAGCAACGCTCGCAAAAATTATCTTAAGATACACGCTGCTTTGGTTAAATTCATTGTCATTTTCTTTTTTTGTTTCGTCGAATGAAAGGATTTTATACTCTTTGGTACCCCTCATGTCACGTTGAAGAGTCTACTTTATTTAGCGTGTTCAGCATGCGAAGAAGTGTAACCTTGAATGACCGCTGATGTTTTGAAACTAACCAATCACAAACTAGCTTTTATCAGAACAACTTTTCTCTTCGCGAGCCCACTAGAGCAATAAAATCTTGTCAGATAAAAAAAGATACGGCCAAAGAAGAACTATTTTTGAAAGATTTATCTTACACTTCCCCTTGTATAGTGTTGGTGGTAGCAGAACAAAAGTTTTAAATTCGTCGTAAATGGTTGAATACATTGAATTATCGAATGAATGTGTAATTAAATTCTCCTAACCCGTCCACCAGGACTTCCTGTTTATGACCTTCACTGCACTTTAGAGTCATCCAGAAGTCATTCAAACATGCGATAAATAGATCTGAGCACTTGGATGTTTCATTTAGATGAGAGAAGAGCCCCGAAAGCCCAGTCTCAACTGCATAGCATTTTGACATTTGGACGCAGAATTCTGGCAATTTTCAACAGGTATGATGTTTCGCACCAGCTGTGGTTTTTATTTGTGTTTAGCCCTCAAAATGCCCTACCAGCGATTTAACCAGCGATTTTAACCACCAAATTGCAAATCTTACGTAAGGCAAAATTAAGAAGCATAGGCTACGTAGCTGACAAAAAATCTTTTTAGGTAGCTATTTAAGGATTTTTTAATGCATAGGCGGAAGAGTTCACAAATGGCCATGGTCGACACTCTCTTTTGTTAAAATGGACCTCTTCATATTTTTTCTTCTTTTCTTTCTATTTTTACAGATAAACGTACGCAATTAACATTGTAGAGATGAGAGAAACTAGTTGCACAATTAATTTTATTCAAAATAGCAGTGAAAACTGTATACATTAGGAAATTGTGCACCCAAAACAGTTAAATTATTTACGAACCTAACCTACACTTTCAAGTGGCTTGTTTTCGTAGTGGTATTTATATCCCCCAGTTGGGTTTTCCCCAGTAGGTTAAACAGACTAGTGAGCAAAACGATCAACATTTCACCTTGTACCATGTTTAATTTCATTAAAGAGTGAAAAAATGGCGCCAAGAAGTGAGACAGTAACACAGATAGAACCCGTCATTTCAGCAGAAAAGAAGTCTTCCGAAAGTACTCAAAAACGCCCAGCACCGCAAATCGTCTGGAAGAATGTTTATTTCATGGTGGTACTACATCTGCTGGCATTATACGGCATTTATCTTCTACCCAGTGCAAATCCGCGGACTTGGTTATGGACTTGGTTGTGTCATTTCCTTGGAGGGCTCGGTGTAACTTGTGGAGTACATAGACTTTGGTCTCACCGATCTTACAAGGCTACGTGGCCTCTACGACTCGCGCTCATGTTCATGAATTGTGTCGCCGGGCAAAATGACATTTTTGAGTGGGCGAGAGACCATCGGGTTCATCACAAGTGTTCTGAAACCGACGGAGACCCGCACAACGCGAAAAGAGGATTTGTTTTCGCGCATATTGGATGGTTGATGGTCAAAAAGCACCCAGATGTGATAAAGAAAGGGCAGCAGTTGGATCTTAGCGATTTGTATGAAGACAAAATCGTTATGTTTCAGAGGAGGTAGTAAGACCAATATTTAAATGTGTTTTAAGAGCTTAATTATTTATGCTGTTAGTATATCCACCTGCTGTTGATAACAACTACCACCCTTCTCCCTGCAAGGTTAAAAATATAATTGGCAGAAGAACAAGAGCATGAGGAAAACTAAGGGGAGCTTTAAGTGTTTCTATGCACTATTATATTATAAATGCTATTACGTTACATAAACTTTTTCACTGTTGTGTAAAAGTACCCCTCCTCATGTCTAGGAGCAGATAGTGACATTTAAGGGGCTGGTCATTTATTACCTGTTGGGGGGGTGGGTGGGGGGCATTTGTGAGAAAACTTAGAAGATTTTCAAACCGACCCCCAATTTATCCTAACTTTTTAAAAATGACCCCCCATAAATTTTAAATAATGTGAAAGTGACCGCCCATTAGACTGCGGTGGAAACTACAAATATTCTGTTACAAAATCATGCCAAAGTTCACCACATACTATAGAGCGGTGTTTACTACTTACTGCTGCTGCATTCAGTTTCAATTCATGCTTGTTACTGCTTTGAGCTACTTTCATGAAATTGATTGTGACCCCCAGGTAATACTCCCTTATCAGAAAATGACCTGCCCCTAACTAAAAAAACAATCAAGATTTTGAAAATGAGCCCCCAGCAAAATAGCCGGCCCCACCTCACAGGTAAAAAGTGACCAGCCCCTGAAGGTTTATGTTGGTGTTGATTTAACATGAGGCTTTTGTTGCTGCTTCAGATAGTTAAGTTGAAAGGAGTACCAAAAAAAGTCCTAACAAATAACTTAAAGGAAGATTGTTAGATTTACTAAATGTTTTTCTTTACCTTATTCCAGGCACTACAAACTTCTGCAGGCTCTTTTCAATGTCATACTCCCGACTGCAATTCCATGGTACTTCTGGAATGAAAACCTTTTAACTGCATTTTTTATTTGTTGTGCATTTCGCTATGCAGTTACCCTAAATGCGACTTGGTGTGTTAACAGTCTGGCACATCTCTGGGGATCAAAGCCCTATGACCACAACATCAACCCTGCAGAGAACCTCACTGTTGTCCTGGCAACTGGGGGTGAAGGATTCCACAACTTTCATCATACCTTCCCACAGGACTATGCAACAAGTGAATATGGCTCACCATGGAATCCTTCTAAATGGTTTATTGATGGATGTGCAATGCTTGGTTTAGCATATGATTTAAAAACTGCTTCCAAGGACTCTATCTTAAAAAGGAGAATGCGGACTGGAGACTTGCGTCAACTGAACAATCATAACAACTAAATTCCTTAAAGTAAAGAATACCTGTCTTAATTAAACTCAATCTAACCCTGCTGCTGCATTGATTGGCACCATCAGGGAGTGTAGCACTGTGCAGAATGGTTAAAAAGTCATGGGCCTTAGAAAAGTTTGATCCATTATCTCTCTTTATTTGTTGTTGATTTTTTGTATGTTTCTTTTCATTTTGGGAGTCGTGATAATTTTTTCCATAAGTCTAGTCTTGCATTTTTAAAACTCAGGTCTAAGCATCCTGGTCAGTCTTGAGTTTTGAATTTTACCTTTCATTGCCCCTAATCACGAGCCAAATCCAGTTTCATTGGACATGTCAAATACTGCACACAAAGGAGCTAAGGGAACAATTTACTGGCATATTGGTTTGTAGAATCTCCTGCAAGGAAGAATTATGTTTCATGGAAATATTAAAACTGTTCTTTCATCAGAATGATTTTGTCACTTAATACTCACACTGCTAAGTTAGATCACAACAAAAATATAAGTTTATTCAAGACAATTTGATTGATTGTAGAATGCTGCAAAACAAATTGTAGCATGTGAAAAAACTTTCTAACAGGATCCATTTCAAATTTCATGTAATTTCTCTATTTAATTCTTGAGATTAATAGTTAGAAAGGGTGCACTGTGTAAATGATATGCTTTAAGGAATGTATCATCTAATTACAAAAAGGGTAATATATTATTGTGGAAAAATTATGCTAAAAAAGGCAAAAATAGTAGTTTTTAATAAAATCGTGTAAAATTTAATTCGCCAGTCTTTTCTTTTGAAAAAATTTTGCACTAGGTATTTATTATTGGATTGATCCAAATAATTGCTGTATGTTTATTCTTGCTTTTTAGAGGCTTTATTTAAAAATTGTTGAGTTAAGTTGGTTCAACCAAGTCGAAATGTTCTCAGTGCAGTAGTTAAAAGCAGGATAACCAGAGCAGCAGACAGCAAAGGCTTAAACTTGAGTGGTTTTAATTTAATTATATAATATTATTGTTAAACTTAAGTGTTGAGGAGGTGGTAATATTCCACTGTAAGCTGCAAATTGCTGCCTGTCGGCTCATTTTGACTGGGCTGAGGTTGAACCCATAGTGCTTTTGCTTAAGCCAAAAATTGTGTGAAATAGTTCAATTTATACACAAAAAGAAAATGCTTATACTTTTCTGGTGTAAAAATATTGTTTACTTGTACATTTTATAACATAAAATACAATTTTGATTAATGCATGCTGGAAATATTTCTGAAATAAAGTGTTACAAGGCTACGTGTACATTAGGCAGACCCCCTACTAAACAGACACTCAGTACTAAACAGACCATAAGCATCATGTTTCCTTCCAGACATGAGCGATAGTCCCATGGGAGTTGTTAGCAGTAGCAATATCTCGTCGTCTTCCGCCCCTGGCAAAATAGGTCTAAACTGGAAAAAGATTCGCAAAAAATTGCGTTACTTCCGATTGCTCCCAAATTTGGCACAAAGGCAGTTAATAGATCTAGCCAATCACCTGCCTAGTTCCAGCCCCTGTGGACTTTTGACCGTGACACACCGAGCTTTCGAAAATTTTGAATTTTATGGCGAGTCGCGGAGAACTTTTGTGAGCCGGTTTTGCGAAGAATGCAAGCTTGTATCAACGAATGTCAACCAAATGCAAGTCAAGCAAACTATTCTGAAGAATTTTGGAGGATAACAAGCAAAATAAACGCGAAATTTGAAGTAAGGAAACACTTAGAATCCATGCATGCAAATCGCCGATCGCCGAACTCTGTGCCACATGTTCTTGAAACGGCGACGATTTCCTTCCCGTTTTGCCTTCGGTTCGCTTTTCGCCGTCAAATTCTTGCTTATTTTGATGAATTCTATCACCAAATTCATGTCTGCTTGTCTCTAACTCGATATTTCGTTGGGAATCGAGGAAACAAAGCGTCTTAGTGAAGTAAACATGTAGTCACGAGGTGACGCCAAAGGATTATGCTAATTATGATAATCTAATTAGCATAATCATGAGAGCGTGCAGAAAAAAATTGGTAGAAAATTTCTAGTCGCTCGATGTTTTAGAACGATTTTAGTTTGTTTTTGCTTAGATATTGATGAAAAAAATTTGTTACTACCATATCACCCAAAATAAAGAAGTTTCCAGCTGAATGACATTCTTTAAAATTTTAAAAAATTCTTATCCAAGATATGCTTTTTAAATTTTTTCGTGGCGGAATATTATGGGTTTCCTACGACCGAAATATTTTTTTTCGAAAGGGTATTCTTTTTTCTTTCCAATGAGGTATAGCTTGATATTGAACTGTAAATAACACCAGAGATATGATTTTTTAAAGTTACACGGGCAAAATACATTAAAATAATTTTGGGAAGACGATGGGATATTCAACTTTGGAAGTAAATGGGGCCGGTGGGGGGGGTGTGGAGAGGAGCCTGGCCTCAAAATTAATTTTTATTGGCCCTGCAAGCCGCCTCCCGTAGATCTGGCAGCCACTGGTTGGCATAATTTCACAATATATTTGTGAGAACTACACTGAATGAATGTGTAAGCGTAGTGGTCAAGTAGTTATTCACCTCCCACTTAAAATATGGCCAGGGTTCAAAACCTTGCCACTGCATTGGCAAGAAACTTTGCTCAGCTTTGTCTCTCTTCACCCAGGTACAGGAAAAACCGCCAAGTAAGACCTTGTGTCTTCCCAAGTTAGTCTAAAGAGATTCTTACATTTTCTGAAGGAAAAAAATACATTGTATTAACCCTACAGTAGACGAGCATCCCATCCTAAAGGGGGTACCGGATATATTCCTAGTCATTTCATGCTATGGAACCGGGATAAGCTCCAGTCTAAAGGGCTACTTGCCTTGTATTCAGATCATTCAGACGTAGCCTTCTTTACCCTGCCTAGGCTTTCCCAAGGCTCATTAGGGAGCACTGAGCGCGAAACGCTATGGATCCGAGAAAATTTGGTTATGACGTGAGCGTGTAACCGAACGCCCACCGTCCTTCAACCCAATACATGTAAGCTGATGTCAAATGTCACAATACATCTTTCAAAAATATTGACACTAGCCTGTCTGTTATGTAAGCCATTCGTATGAGGATTAATTGACAGCTGTCAAAATTAGGCATCCGCTGACAAATATCACATGACCATCCAGGGCTCAGATGAAAGACCGATCCTTTTGCCCTTGCATGTAAGCCACATTCTGTTATCAACATGAATGAATGAATGAATGAATGAAAAGTCGTGGATGAAAGGACAACTCAAAATACATTTTAACATGTGAACAGTAAGCTCGGACGTCAGCATACAAAGGCCAGGGGCACCCAACGGCAATTTTTAGAAAATATCTGTTCGGAAGACGATTTGAGATCTAGAATTTTCGAAACATTTGTTGTAAGATTTCTTGCTTGCCTGCTTCTCCTAGATAGTAGATACCCTGGGTACCAGAGGTTTTTTCTCGCGTGCGACGGGAAGCTTCGTTTTGTCGGCCGAGGGCCGAACTGACATGAGCGGCGAAGCCGCGAGAAAAAACTTCTGACGCAGAGCGCCTTGATTTACCGTGCTAAATGGACCTTGACCTTGTCTCTAATCTGTCAATCAAAGCGGCGGTCGCGAGACTGTTTAATTAGCTAATTCAAAAGTAATTATCACTTTTTAAGACTTGACCGAAACCGGAAACCGCGCATGAAAAGCCTCTAGCACCCAGGGTACTCGAACATCTAAAAAATGGTACAATTGTCCATTTTTAACGGATTTTTACTCTGAAAAGGTCACCTAGAATTTTCGGGAGGCTTTTTTCTGGCTGAAAGTTTCGAAAAGGTAAGTCTTGATTCCTATAATTTTCGTACTGGCACTAGACTTTCAGCTAGGAAATCCGAACAGATGAAAAATTTTTAGGGGATATAAATATGCCTATATCTACCGTTTAAATACTAAAATACGTTCAACAATGCTATGTTTAAGTGGTTTTGAACTATATTCTCGTTCGGTGCCTCTGAAGGGCGCCACAGGCAGCCACCTTCAGTCCATTTATGAGCTTACTGTACCCACCCAGCCCATGATGTGATGTGATGTGTGGAGGTTGACCATAACACAGGGGTCTACGTCCCCTACTCTTTTCGAACAGTGGTGTGGATTCTTTTACGACCCACAACATTCTCGTCCCCAGAGCCACTCGGTTTAATTTGTAACCGACCAGTGGCTCTGGACGCAACGGAAAATACGAATTTTTTCATTGGCTGAAGGCAATTGAATGCGCAAAGCAAATTAAAAATATAATCTACTGCGCATAACATTTTACTTCGTGCTCTCTCGACCTACTGACATAAATCCCGTGTCCGAGTTTCGTTGATTGCGACAATCCTGTTTTGTTTATATGCAATAGCAGTGAAGAAGAGAATTGCAGGTAAAGTTTGAGAAGTTTCTACGAAGATAACGAGCCTTGACAAAGAAAGTATTGCCTTCGTTGTGCGCTAAACTTTGCCCCTGTCTCGACCGTCGCATCTCCTAGCTCTTCCTGTTGCTCCTTGCTCGTTAAAAATCAAGCGATTGATACTGTGCGTGTA